AAAAAAAAAAAAAAAAAAAAAAAAAAAAAAAAAAAAAAAAAAAAAAAAAAAAAAAAAAAAAAAAAAAAAAAAAAAAAAAAAAAAAAAAAAAAAAAAAAAAAAAAAAAAAAAAAAAAAAAAAAAAAAAAAAAAAAAAAAAAAAAAAAAAAAAAAAAAAAAACAAAAACACCACCACAAAATCAGATCCTCTCACCATCAGATTTTTTTTTTCTATTCAGCCTATGGAGCAGCGGTCTCCAAAGTGGAGCAGTTCCGTGGGGGTGCAGGAACGCGGCGCTGCTCACAGTGGGACCCGCAGGCCGGCGCCGGGCCCTGAGGAGGCGGAGGGCCCCGCCTGCCGCCAGAGGGCGCCCGCGGCCTCCCGCTCCGCTCGGCCCGGCGCCGCCACACGCCTGAGGGAGAGGAACGAGCTGTCCGTACCAGCAAGGGAAGGGATTTAAAAATCCTTGTCTTGTTACTGCTATTTAGCTGCGGTCAGGTGGCACTGGAAAGTTAGTGTTGGCCAGCGTGCTGTACGTCCGTATGAAGCCACGCAGGTCGGTGCTGGGTGACAGCTGTCAGTGCTGAGCGCAGTCGGAGTAAATATTCAACAACATAGGGGTGAAAGAAAGCTGGGCTGAGATTAAGACAGCAAAGAAGAAAACCCACAACTGATGCAGGGCTACTCACCACCTCCTACCAGCAGAGCGAATCTCAGCCGGTCCTCAAGCGACTGCCTTTGGAGTTTCCCTCTCCCCCACAGTTTTTATGGAGAAGGTGACGTTATGAGGTATGGAACATCCTTTTGGTCAGCCAGGGTCAGCTCTCCCACCCCAGCCTCTTGCCCACCCCCAGCCTACTCGCTCAGGGTGCAGAGAGAGAAACAGGGAAGGCCTTGACCCCGTGCAAGCACTGCCCAGCGATAGCTAAAACACTTCTGTATTATCAGCGTTGTTTTGGACACAAATCCGAAACATTGGCCTATATGGGCTGTTGTGAAGAAAAACCAACTCCATCCCAGCTGAACTTGATCGAGCTGGGAAACGTTGTGAGAGATGCTGTAATTCAGGTGCCCTGAAACAGAGGTACCAGAAGAATTCAGAGAACATGCAGGCAATTACCAAAAAGAAAAAAAGTACTCACAGATTCCAGGCAAAAAAATAGCTGGCACTAAAGGTAAAGCAAGAGTGAGCAGAATATTCAATCAGCACTCAAGTAAGGATGTCACTGGTGCTTTTCTCTAGAAGGAGCCAAAGATCCTCAAACACATACCTTTGATCACAGGGCTTGCTTTTGATCACAGGGAACAGTGCTGTGCCCGTGCAGAGGATATTATAATACCTCAGCTGGATATCAAATAATAACAGCTCTGACACATCTAGTGCTGGAACCATTGATTGTGAGATTCCCAGCAAAACGATGGAACTACCTGAATGCAAAACCTGGATGGCAAAAGGTCGTGGGGTCCCATTCATCCATTTCAGTTGCCCCTCCTTTCACTAGAAATGGGAGTCTCTGGCTTCTTAAATCTTTTCTCTCAAGAGGCTCCTGGCTACAGTAATGAAGAATATCACTTCTGAGGAAGATGAGGATCTATTTGGACTGCTGGTATTTTTTTTCCTAGCTCCTCCCTCCAGTATATTTCACCTCAGCTGCAAAGACAGCATCTGGATATCAGCTCCATGAGAAAAAAAAAAAAAAAAAAAGTGGAGAAAGGTGTCTGTTTTGTTTTTTTTCTTGTTACCACTTTCAGAATTTTCAAAGAAGACAAGCCTTTCACCAAGAAATGCTTCAAGTTTTGAGCTGTGTGCAAACACTTAAGAAGCCAATGATCTGCTTTGCAGCAAAAGTGTACCTGATAAGCACTTTCTGAGAAGTAAACCACCTGTAGTTGACACTAGAAACAATGCTTGTGTTCCTTTCGTAATGTTTTATTACTTCTGATGTTTAATGCAAATTTTTAGAAAATGTTTCAGAACCATGTATGACCTTACTTCTCTACAAGTGAAGTTCTTTAAGAGATTTTTCGTAAGGTATGTGCCTCCTTGCTCTCTAACTATTGGCAGACAGGGTCAGAGGGCAATGCATACACTTATTCTAAAGCTCAGCCTTCTCTGGCTGCCTTCTCTGTCACTTTTCTTCTTCTTTATTTTCTCCCATCATCCTCATTTTTCTCTTTGTGATAAGCAGAGTTATCAATGGTCTGAACTGGTCTGTGCCAAGCTCTCTGTTACTGAGCCATCTTGCTTCCTTGCCCAGGGCAGTGTATTTACTCTCTGAACTGTGAAGCAGTTGCTCTTTAGTTTATTATGGCCTTTGTCTCCATTTATTAATAGGTTTTCCCAGCAAATGGCACTTAAAGTACATTGCTGAATACACTAATCATCATCTGAAACCTACTCTGCTGCATCTACCCTCTGTACCGTGCAGTGTGTGTTTCTTCTGTGCTCTCTGTGGCCTGGCGTATCCTCTTTATACAGGCTCATACAACAGGTTACCCCTGCAGGACAGCTATATGATCTTGAGTCTGTTTCCTGATGAGTAAGCACTGATTTCTTCAAGGACTTGTGGGAAAAATCTATTGTCTGGTAAATCCTGCAATTACAGAATCTGGCTTGATGGGAAGGAGCCACACCAGTGGCTCTGCAACTGCATGCTGTGCGAAAGGGTCTGGTGAGTGGGAAGAAACCCTGTAAGTCCTCTGGAGATGCAAATGCAACTGCTACTGCTCTCCTGCAGAGGAGACCCTCTGATCAGGCTGAGCATCCCAAAAAAGGAAGAGAAGGAGTGCAAGCAGCTTTTACACCTCCAGGGAAATGCAATCATAAACTCTGATCTCATGCTAATAAAAGGACTCCAGCAGACTTTGGAATATGCCTGCAGGTAAGGAGGAATGATATCATTTGAACTTCGCTGCTGATAACAACCAGCAGAATGATATTATGGTATCGTCAGTCATGGCAGTACTGTTAAAACTTTTGGACAGAGGTTAGGAGAAGTGTAAGCAGGAGCAGGAGAACTCTCCAGCTCCGCCCTTACTCGCTCATCCCTCTTCTCTCGAGCAGTTTGGTCCCTCTTGTGACCAGGGGCTGTTTCTGGGACAGACCAACATGTTGTGGGGTACTGAGGTGCTGCTGTGGGCATGCACATCCCCACAGCCTTCTCTTTTATCCTCTGACCTCCTAGAACCCAGAGTTTCATCCATGCAATAGCTCTCCAGTGCTATGCAAGGTGGAGGAAGAAGCCTCAATCCCTTCCCCTAAGCCTCTCCAGGAGCAAAAAAGGACATCCTACTCTGTGAAGAAAGGCAGGGCAGAAACGGCCAGAGCACATTAAAGGCAAAGAACAGGACAAAAGGACTTGTATTAATTTTGCCTCAGGGAATGACTCCAGTAATTGGAGGCTGCCTAGGCTTAGCTCAGTTTCTGGGTAAATAAAGGGAAGTTCATATGAAATTCAGTCAAGGAAGAACTAAGTGAAAGAACATGATTAATGCCACTGAAACAGTTTTATGGTAACTATAAGCAAACTTGCCAAACAAAGCTGATTTTTGTGCTTTGATGGAACTATATATTTGGTTGACAATGATAACTGCATGGTAATAATGTATGAGAAACTGTGTTGGGCATATGAGTCAGTAGCGCCCTGCATTTGGAGTCTAAAAATGAACACTGTGCAATATCAATACAGCTTGTGTGAACAGCACCGAGAGGAGGTCAAATGACAAACCTCAAAGAGCCAGCGAGAAGTCTGGGAGATGCTCATGCAGATTAGGGCAATGCTGGAAGCTGTTTAGTCCACTGATGTAACAATTTAATCTACGATCTAAATGAACATGAAATCACTTTTGCTAACAGCAGGGGTTGGCAATGGATAGCAGGGCAGAAGACAGTGATGCAGTCAGTCACACAGTGTGATCAGGCATGGTCTGACAGCAAAGGGCTACTTAGCCTTGGAAAGCTGATGTGAGTGGGAGTAGATGGGGAAGTTTTGGCATAGTGGGTGGTGATGATGAGTCTGAAACATTCAAGATC